TATAAGTTATAATAAACCCACATTCAATCGTAAGTTGACTTGTTAAAAAAGAGTAACTTGTTAGTAGATTTTTCATCCTGTCGAAGATTGATCTCGCCTTTATTTCCGATCTGCTTTGAATTTCTATTCCTAGATCTAGATCTTCTGGACTATCGCAATTATAACAGATTGCCTGCGTATTCAAGTTAATGTTTTTTTCGTTTACTTTAATTTCATATTTTCTAAGACTTTTAATTAGAATGCGTATTTTGAATACGGTTTTCTTTTGAAAAGACCCATTAATATTTCAGAATTTAATTTATCTTATTTTGGATAATAGTACCTGTGATGTGGTCACCATGACGTCGTGATGATGGCATCCATTTGTTTTTTAAATGACAACCTATCTTAACATTAAATAGACAATGAAACTCTATGGAAAGGGTCATTATTGCCCTAATTAGTAGTTTTTGATTATTGGACTATTATCCCAAATAAAATCAGAACTAAATTTAAAAAGCATTTCTTTCTGTCACATTTCTGAAATATTGGGGTTAATCAAATAAACAGTGAATATTTGAGTTTTGAAGAAAAAATGGACACCACGTTTATTTAATTTCATGTGTGCTGCTTTATACACCTGAACTCAAGCTACTTGATTTCAATATAAATTTTCTATGAATTCTGTCATGTTCCGTTTATTAGTTTGGTCCTTATTAATCTATTCATGTTTCGTGTTTCACGATATAAAATGCTTTCTCATAGTCAATAAACCACGTATATACACTACCGAGCATAAAATTAGGATCATCCCGTAATTTGAATTTGTTTTAGAAATTATTATTCTGTTTTAACCTATTTTCGGTTGTAACATAGTTTACTAACGGATTGCTTAAAGAAAACAACGTTTTTGTCTGTTAAAGTTTATTAAAAATAATTGAAATGAAGAATTTTCCTTTGACATACTAAATATTGAAAAGGGGCAATTTTAATTTGATGTGCTTTTTGTTGAAAAAAAGGAATTTTAAGAACTTCAGTAGCGAGTATTCACTCCTCTGGTAGTGATCACACCTTGCAAACGACGAGGCATGCTTTGGATCAGATTTTGGATCCCATTCTGCGGAAGATTATTCAATTCATGCACCAATATGCCCTCTCGAATTTCTGGGGGCCGGCACATGACTCCGTAAACTTCTCTTCATCTCATCCCAAACATGTTCTATGGGATTGATATCTGGACTGCGAGCAGGCCAAATAAATCGTGTGATTTGAACCTCGTCAAGATACTTAGTAACTATCCTACCAGTGTGGGGCTGTGCATTATCATGCATAAATGTTGCATCGTCTCCAAGAATAACCATAAACGGTAAAACATGGTCTTCCAGAATCTGTGTCAGGTACCTATGCGCTGTCAATGTCCCATTCTCGATAAAGACTAACTCCGTGCAAGCATCAAACGATATGCCACCCCATGCCATAACTGACCCTCCACCAAATGGAAGACGCTGGGCAACACATGCTTGAGCATATCTGTCGCCTGGACGTTGCAACACTCTTACACGTTTGTCTGAGCCCGTAATGCCGACAGAATCTCGATTCATCGGAAAACAATACATGACTCCAATCCTGCATTGTCCAAGCCAAGTGTTCTCTTGCAAAATTCAATCTGGCAATTCGGTGTTCACGGGAAAGCGGCGGTCCAGTTACTCTAGTTGGAGAAGATAAACCAGCAGCATGAAGTCGTCTCCTAACTGTCCATTCACTTATGTTTACATTTCTCACTTCTTGCAGATGTTTTCAAAGATAAACTGCCGTGACCGTTCGGTTTCTCAAAGCACTAGAAACGACAAAGCGGTCATCTCTAGCTGTTGTAATCCTGCCTCGACCTGAATCAGGTCTTCGAGTAAGCAGACCGGTCTCTTCGTACCGTTGCCATACTCTTTGCACACTCGAGAGACTTACACCAACGTTTCTCGCAGTTTCGCGCTGACTGTGGCCGTCTTCTAACGCCGCTACAACAGAATTTATGCTCATTGCAATACACTGACAGTGATAACAATACACAAAAAATTTACAATTGACGTTAAAACCATAGAAACAAAAACTTTGCTGATAACCGTTTTTAGGAATTAGGCTAAGAGGCCCTTTTTATCTCAAACGCTTGTCGAAACAACAACGACAATTTTTTTTTCAAGAAATCCATTAGTAAACTATGATACAACCGAAAATAGTAATAATAGTAATAAACACTATAATAATTTCTAAAATAAATTTAAATTACGGGGTGACCCTAATTTTATGCTCGGTAGTGTACATTCTTCATACTACATCTTGTTCACATTTTGTTCTTTTTCGGTGGTGTATGATTTTGAACGTCAGTTTTAGCATCGTGACTCATTAGACTATTAAATGTATGTTGTAAAAATTGTTGGCTTCCATATTCGCAAATCCCCGTGACAGCTCAGATGATATTTTACTTACTGCATATTCTAAAACCGAATTGAATAGCAAAGGCGATAAAAGGTCTCCCTGTCTAAGTCCTAAATGGCCTAGATGTTCTGTTTGCTATCTTTACCTGTGCATATGAGTCTGCCCCACATATTTGAGTTAGCTTCATAATGTGGGATCATAGTAATAAATATGTCATATTTCTTAGTATTCCCATTTCTAGCATTTCTAGCTATAGTCTGCTTCTTTTTATATATTCATATGCTTGTTGGAAATCTATGAAAATTTGGTGTACATCTCGGTTTAAATCCAAGTTTTTTCTAGTATTTGGCGGATTATAAATATGATCTATTGTTGATCTTTCAGCATGAAAGCCGCATTGGTAGTCGCCTAGAATATCTTTCAAATATGGAGTGAGCCTCTTTATTTAGCAAGGTAGCAAGATTAGAGTTTCAAAATTGTTTTTTATCTCCCTTCTTATGTATGGGCATTATAACGCTTCCATTCCATTCTCTAGGCATTGTCTTTTCTTGCCATACTCTCAGGATAATGTCATACAACTTTTTATGTAAAACTATTCCTCCTTTTTTTATCAATTCTCCATTTATACCATCATTTTTATATGGTTATATATTATACAACATAGCATGTGTTACCCCAACAGTTCCACCTGACTGTCCTCACTTCCCTAAATAATTTCTTTACTTAATTTATCTCACCACTTGTCATTTTCTTGTATTTGTTGTTCTAAGTAGCTATTCTTTTTAGTTCTGAGTAGTTGCCTTGTCTGTGTTCTGCTGTGCCTTGTTTTCATTTGTAGGGTTTTGTAGAATTATCAATCTTTTGTGAGTTTTTATTTCCTCGCATTATTTGTCAAACCATTTCTGTTTTGGACGAGCCCTCTTTTTTCCAATGGTTTCCTTCGCTGCTTGTTCTATAACTGGTGCCACTCTCTGCCATGCTTGTTCTAAGTCTACATTATGCTCTTCCCTTCCCAGCAATTGGAATCGGTTACTTGATAATTCAGTTCCTTATTTGGTGTTTGAAGAGCTTCCCATCGTTCTCTTTGTTCTTGTTGTTCCATTTTTATATCATTTGAAATCCATGTGGCCTTGTAAATCTCCTTTCTTTCAAATTGGGCTGATTTAACAATCACGTTATTAGATATTGCGAATTGTGTTAGCCGGTGTCCATTACCATTTGTGGTGTCATATAAAATATTCAGTGATTAACATTTAGTTCACTAGTCATGGCATTGTGTTCTGACTGGATACCAACTCTTGGGTGTTATGAAACCGTACAGTGTATTCAACTTCTGCGGCGGTTGTTGATTGTAATGAAATTATTTTGATCCCTTCTTTTTATTGTCTAATGGCGTTATCTAGATATAATTACATTCTTTTAAGTAATAATAACGAAATATTCGTTATTAACAATTTTTATCTTGACATAATTATACTATGTGTCTAACAATAAAATACTGTAAACTTTTCTTTTCATAACTCCTATAAAATTTATTAAACATTCTTATCACTACAGCTGTTTCGGCAGAGTGCCTTTCTCAAGTGATCTATTTTTGAATCGGTCGAATCCATTACTTATACTAGGTGTCTCTTAATGTTTACATTTTAAATGCTTTAACTTCAAACGTTGTTTGATCATTACAAACATCTTTTGAATTGAAACTCAGTTTTCAATTCTGTAATCTTCTTATTGCGCCGTCTTCTTTCGAAAGTTGCGGATCCAAATGGCAATTATAGCTGCACGAAAGATATCTGCGGATGAGCGGTTAAACCATCTCCTCAGCTCTTTCAGCCACGAATTCTGGCGTTATCCTACCGATCTTTTACATGAACTTTACCTTCCAATATGATTTGGAGTCTGTTATATTTATTCCATATTATTAAATGCATTCCTTGCCTTTTCTGACTTTATTTTGATTTATTTTATCCAGTTTTGAAGAAAAATGTAAATATATTTCCTATATATATATATATATATATATATATATATATATATATATATATATATTTGTAATCGTGATGAAAATTGTTTAAGTTAACTTTATACAAACCGAATTTCTAGATCACTTATAATTCATTTAAGATTAATTGAATATGATCTAGTTTTTTTTTAATACAAATGTTTTAAAGTTTACCAGGAATCACTTTCCCTTAAAATGTTATGAGAGGCATCTCTATATTGTCAGCAAAGACTTAACATACATGAGTGGGGTCTTAATTATCGTTTTGTGCTATAAAGTTAACGTATTTTATGGAAGTGCCAATATGATCCAAGGTTGAAGGTAAATTTTTCCACCACATTCCTTATCCAAATCAGGTGGTATTGGTAGAAAGGATTAATAGGAGTTTAAAACACTGTGTTCCTAAATATTTATTTTACTATATTTTCTTTAATATTTTTATATCTTCTGTGATTTTTAAAACATATTTGAATTACAAGTTTTCATCTTACTCATATATGATAGTTCTGCAGCTAATTGTAACCTTGTAATTCGGGTATGAGATATTTATTTATATGATTTAATAACGTTTTTGTTGCGTCTTATATAGGCTGGCCGTGGGCGTGGGGTGGTGGCACGTGGCCGGGCAGGTGGCCCCCCAGCCCGTGGGGCGGCAGCCAACAGAGCGGGCCGGGGCGGAGCAACAGGGGCCCGTGGGGCAGCACGCCAAGCCGCTCGTGGAGTGGGCCGCGCCAAGGCAAGTTTACCAGGTAAGGACACTAAGAGAACCAACAGTATTAGTTCTAAAAAAAAGGTAGGTAGGCAGTAGAAAAATGCATCTGAGTTGGACTTTATACTGTCTTGTTTTAACACTAATTTAGTGCCTTTATGGAACCAGGTTAAAATTATTCAATACAGTCAACTCCCGTTTACCCTTGAGGCTGATTGTCACGGAAGCTGTAGATAATGAAAATCGTGGATAATCCGCTGAATATTTATAGGAAGTCAAATAAAAGCAAAGAAATAACGAAATAGTTTCTGCTAAAGCTTTAATTTACAATTTTCAATTTTTTATACCTTTTGAAAGTGGTGTCACTTGTTTCTGCTTCTTTGATAGGAAAAAGTGTTTCTTAATTCTACATTATACGTTACGTAGCACCAATGTTTAAACGAGTAGTGAGTCGTTCTGGTCCTGTAGCGATTTTAGAAGTTCTTTCACGTGACACAAGGCCGGTGCGTGAGTAATTTGTCTACAGGTGCAAGTCTTCTTCATCACTTTCTTCTTCGTTTGCTCATCGGCATTCTCTTAGAATGTCTTCACCCGTTAGATGCACAAATTGTCGGTAGTGTCACAGTCTAACTACTCTTACATGTTTCTTGCGTCCACATTCTCTGCTAGGAACTGAATTCACTAAACTTGGTAGGTTCGTTTTAATCTTCTCCAACTGCTACTTTTTCAAATTTTCGGTGTTCCGTAACAGTTTTCTTCATGACTTTACAGTTGTTAAAGACTTAACAGACTCCCACGCATATGTGATTTCATAAATGCAGTCCAAGATAATGAGTGAATTCCAAAACTCTTGCCAGTCATATTCTTCTTCAGTTTTTGAGCGAGGTAACTTTATTCTATAGTTCCTCTTCAGAGACGTAATGATGACTTCTTGGTTCATAGTCTGAACTAACGCAGTAGTATTTGGGGGCAAACATTTTGCCGTCTGCAAACTTAAGCGTATTAAAAAATGTACTTTAAAATATGCGTTTCAGGATGTGAATGGACGTTTCATGAAAGGCTGTTACGACCAGTAAAATAGCCTTTTGTGGTAAATTGTTTACTTTTAAATATTTTTTGACTTCTGGTAAAAATTTAGCTTTAAACCACTATTAAAATATTTTTATCTATCTCTTATTTTGGTTTAAGTAATTGACAGGTTGTCTTTCTGCTCTAGTGCCCTTAACAGATGTAGTGTTTTTTGCCTTAACAATCACCGTCAACTTCAGTTTGTAACTTACTGTAGCATTGCTGCCGGACATAATCGTGATCCGTTCTTTCTGGATTTATGTACCCCTACTTTACCTTCACCTGCAAGCATCCGAACTGGAAGGCATTTCAAAAATAGCCCCGATTATTATGCGTTAATTTTTTTTTATTAGCACAGATCATTTGAGGAAAAGAACTTTTGTAACTCACTTTTAAATTCCTAAGCTTCCTGTTGGTCACCGCTTCTCTCCGTTAGTTCATGGTGCTGCTTAAAGCTACTAAATCACCCGAATGATGCATGAAAATCTCCTAAGATCAATGCGTGAGATCAAACCTAACATGGGTGTAATTATGTTACGAACTTGGTCTATCCATTATATTAACGCCGTCTCCAATTCCATGTAAGAAAAGGTTTCATTGTTTTATTTTCTTTGTGTCAGAAGATCTTTCTGACATTGACGCAAATAAAAAAATTTGCCAAGGCACATAAGTTTACGGAAAGCTTTGTTTTAAATTTTACTTATTGAGCTCTATCTATCTATTAACCGTCAACACAACCTTTTATATTTTGTCGAACATAAAACAATAAAAAAAACTAGCTTAGAATACATAAAACAATATCTTACAAGGCAACATCAATACAACCTGCGAACTAATGCTGAGTCACAACACAAGCACGTTCATAACCCCCTTTCGTCAGTGTCCGGTAGTCGTAGTCATGGTCTTTGTTTCACCACTTCTTCTTCTTCATGTACCATGTCCTTTCAGAACGTTGGTTACCATCATAGCTATTTTAATTTTATTCACTGTCACCCTAAATAGCATGCTTGTATCTACACCATACCAATCTCGCAAGTTCTTCAACCATGAGGTTCTTCTTCGTCCTGGACTGCGTTTGCCTGCTATTTTTCCTTGCATGATATTTTGTAGCAATCTATATTTGATACCTCTCATTACATGTCCGAAATATTCCAGCTTTCTCTGCTTGATGCTTTTTATGATCTCAGTAGTCTTGCTGAGACGTTCAAGTATTGTGGAGTTACGAATCTTCTCCACCCAGGAAACTTTAAAATTCTTCTATAGCACCACATTTCGAAAGCCTCAAGGCGATTTAGATCGATTTTATTCACAGTCCAGGACTCGACAGCATAAAGTAAGACCGAGAACACGTAGCAGCGAAGTAGGCGGATCCTTAATGCCAGTTTTAGGTCTCTGTTACATAACACCTTGGACATCCTTCTAAAAGCAGCTCTAGCCTGCTCTATTCTGGATCTAATTTCGCCGTGATTTTCTGCATTACAATTTAATTGCTGTCCAAGGTAGACGATTTTATCAACTTGCTCAAGTTTGGTATTATTTACATATATAGACGGTTTTATATTCTGTTGTTTACTTATTACAAGTAAATATGTGTGTTTCACCACACATCAGACAAACAACGTAGTCTAACAAATCCATAACGAAATTAGTCATCCAGAGTCACCCATCCTAACTGGTAAAAAGTAACCGACATCACTTGTCAATTGTGTGTTCTCGGAAATTCGAAAATTCCGAGTAAAATAAATAATTATAATATTAAAAATAATATATTAGATCTAGTTTATAAAATACATTTTCATTCACATTAAAAATGACTTTACAGATTTACGGATAATCCGCTCAGCGGATCATCCGCTCGCGGATCATACGGTGGATAAACGGGAGTTGACTGTGTATGATAAATCAAGCAAATAGGAACAAAAATGTCAGATTGTGAGATCCCAATTATGCCATTATCTATCATCAGATTGTTAGGTCTGTAGTTTTCTAATATTAATTGATGTAACAAAATAGATATGGGTTTTATCAGGAGTAATATCTTACCAAAAACTATGCAGTGTTAGGTCCGATAAAAGTTATTCTTGTATACCTATTCAATTGTCAGTAACTGAACAGCGAGTTTTCTAATTAGACTAGTTATCTTGTAGTCATCATTTTAGTATTGTACTGGATAGTATTGATTTCGTATCCTGCACCAATAGCTTCAAAAAAAGTATTTTAACATTTCCATCAAATTAACATTTTTCTTACCAGTAACAGTACCTACTAAATTAATCTCAGTGATCGTGGATAGAGTGAAACAAGCTTTATCAAGCGATACAACAACAATATCTTAAGGAATACTTATATTTAACATCATTAGAGTACTCGAGGTCTTTATAGCTCCACAGCCCTTGATGAGCGTTGGCTTCACTTAAAATATTTTTTTAATTAGGTGAATTCGCGTTTGTGTGAACTTCCTCGTCGTCTCTGTCCTACTGTCAGACAGAATTTTTTCAAAAATCGATTTTCGGAGCGTGTCTTCATCTTTGACTTTAATTATTTTTATTATCTTTACTTACTCTGTGGCGTTATAACCGTTCGTGGGTTTTGGCCGACTTTACAACATGCCCCCATTCCGCTGTCTTGAGCAGTCTCCATCCAATTTTCCACGATCATGGCTTTAAGGACTCCTGCTATATTATCTCTCCACCGGAACCGATGAGGTTTTTCACGTCGTCTGGCGATGAGGTGACTGCCCCACTGGAGCTTTCTAGACTTTATTTCTTTTATTATGTTAGCGTCTAGATATAGTTCTTCGAGATGTTTCGAGCAATGTTATTGTCCTGATGTTCCATCAAGCAGAGGTTCAAAGATCTCTCTTAGGATTCTCGTTTCCGTTAAACCTGCTAAAATTTTTGGAACATAGCTTTCTTATCGCGGGCTACGGATGGAGTGCATTGATCAGTTAAGTGGATCGCACTAAGGTGTGAAAAAGGAAACGCAAATCTTGCGACCACACGCTACGTGAAGTACTAAACGCAGTCACATACGTATTTCTTAATAAAATAAAATAAACAAAATTAAAATAAAATCTAGTAGAATCGAATGGAATATAATGAACCGAATCGAATTCAATCCAATCGAATCGAATTGAGTCGAATTGAATCGAATTGAGTCGAATCGAATGGAATTGAATGGAATCGAATCGAATCGAATGTAATCGAATACAGTCGAATGGAAACGGCTGGAATACAATTGAATAATCTGATTGAATGGAATTGAATCGAATGGAATCTAATTAAATCGAATAAAATCGAATTGGATGAAATTGAATTGAATTCAATTAAAATAAGTTAATTTAATTTAAATTAACAATCATCTCTTCCTGCGTAGACGATAAAAAGCTATGCTTTCCCCATCGAGCAAAAAGACAGAAGAGGGAATGTAAAGGTTGTGGGGGCAAAAATATTGTTAGACGGGAAGTACCACATTAAACAAGGAAAGAGAGTCTCCTTCCTTGTTTATGAAATGAAATTAGTTGGGTTATGTTATTGTTTGTCCTAACTGTCACATGAAATCTCATTTATGTTGGTTTAACACTTGTGTCACATTTTGGACTATTATCGTTAATATTTAATTAAAACTTTCTCGTCTAAGGCACATTCTGAAAAATATTTTATAGCTACTGTAAACTTTAAATTTGGCGCCTTTGCATTTCCGGATATGTCCGCTATATTAAGAGGTTTCATGAATTTTGGTCACCTTTTATAACGATTAGATTCCTTCTTTTGTCGTTTTGCTCGATGGCTTTCCTTGTTGGTGTATTTACTCTTTGTTTAGCTATTTTATATGTGTTTCTTTCACCTTCTGCGGTTTAAAATTTATCGTGTAGATTGTCGTATCTGATAAAAATATTTTTGTTAGTTGGACCTTGTGTGAAGTAATGACTAATTTTATCCTTGATGATTCTGTTCTTTTGAATTGTCGCTC